TGAAATATGCAAGTCTAATTATAGAGCATAAAGGTTACACGTAAGTGTTTATTCAAAAAAGTGGACACATAAATAGATTTTCTATCTTCCGTATACAATCCGACATCCGTTATTTAACAACGTTACATAACAAGCAGGTTAGTGGTCACGGTCTATCACTAAAAGAGATCTCTTTCGTAGGCTATTTTTGAAAGAAAGTTTGAAAAGTGAAAAAACTGATATAACTTTCACTTTTTAGGCTACCTCTGAGATAGATGGAATTGGGTTTCGGTGATGTGGATTCATTGCTGAGTATTTGTTGGGCTAATAGAAAGAAAGTGGTTTGGGCTTTTAAAATGTATAACTGATAATTTTATTATTTAAAATATACTCCCTCCGGTTTTATTTAATCTTCACACTTTGACTTCACACAAAATAAGGAAAGAAATTTGACTTTACTGTAGAGTACACTGTTGAGGCACTATTTGGCAATGTAGAGACACTATTTGGCACTGTTGAGACACTGTTTGACACTGTTTTGATGTAGATTTTTTGCCAAAAAAAAAGGAAATAAGGAAGTGTGAAGTTTATTTTAGACCGTCCCAAAAAGGAAAGTGTGAAGTTTATTAAAAACCGGAGGGAGTAAACTTTACTACAATTATTTATGTATTGGAAACCCAAAATTAAACTGTAATAATTAATTAGGATATGGGTCAAATTTCTCTAAATCAGAGTTTTGTAATGTTCGGCCCATTCCAATCTAATTCTGGTTGGACCACTCAAGCCCAACTTCCCTTCAGACAATTAACCTGAAGACACTGACGATTCTCGCCTGGCTTTCATTCGCTGCGTGCCACCTCTTCGGCGTAGTGCATCTATCAAACAAACCAGGTATCTCATGGATCTCGAATCTTAGCTTCTTCCACTTCCGGCCATATCAATTATTTCTAATCCAAAATTATTCCCTGTTTAAACTATTTCCGGATCTGAAAGCAATTACTAAAAGGTAAATTTTGGTCCACCGATTTATACAAATTTTATCGTATCTCCGATTTTTAGATTTTGGTTGTGTGCTTGATTGTGTGCGTGTGTGTATGTTTTAAGTTTATTTTTGATCGTGTTGAGCTCAAATCTTCCCTTTTTCGTGATTAGTCAAATGGTATCATGACAAGTCAAATAACCCAATTACGCACAAACAATTTCGACTAATGTTGTTAACTTTTTTTTTACTGTAAACAATATATACATCTGTGTGTCTATATATATATATATATATATATGAGTGTGTGTATCATGTAGTTGTATATCATCTGTCATAATATGTATTTATAATTTGTACAAACACGCATGCAATCAGATTATTTTTTTAGTTAACGTAAACATCACTTTTATAAATTTACTTGCAGCATGGTTTCTGTACAATTACATTATTTGGAATGTTTTTTCTGTCAATTGAAATAGCTTCAAATATAATGAGTTTACCTACACTCATGAACATTTACTGTTAAAGTTATTATGGGAATTCAGTAAATGCCTGTCTGACTAAAAACTGTATCAATTGAATTCTTCTTGGTTCTCATGACAAGTAGTCCACAAATACACCCATGCTTAAAATTAATCACTGCAATACTTGCTGACTCTCGGATTTTCACCACTTTATTTGTACTTACAAAATACATCTATGCATAAACACAAGTGGTGTTAGTTTATAGATACTCCATATCATTCACATGGATTATTTTCTTTCTACATTCATTTAATAGGGTAGGTAAGTGGAATCGTGAGAACAATGGAAGGTGCAGTCTCATTGCTTGTCTCCTCCCCGCCTACATGGATCTCGAAGAGAAGGTCTGTGGAGGAGACTAATCAGGATGATATTATTGTGGATGTACAAAATCTATTTATCTCAAATTCAAATGACAGTGGAGGTGGCTGTAATGGTGTTTCTGGTTCGCCTTTTGTTAGTAGGACAATACGCGGTGTAAGCATCAATGATTACCTTATAATGATTGGTTACACAAATCATATCATTGCACACAAGTTCACTTATTTAATTTGATGTCATTTTGTAGGTAATATGTGGACGTGTAGATAAACATCCGCTTCCAGATCTCATGGAAGAAAAGAATATTGCATTATATGAAAGGATTGTTGCTCTCAGCAAAATGTCTCTTGCTTTTTACGAGAAAAATCATGTATGCTCCATATCATTGCTTCCTTTCCTCTCGTAAACTTACATATTAGAAAAGATAGCAATGACCAAATCATTTCACTACTGCTGATCATATCCTTCTACTCCATTGTAGCCAGGAGAGTCATATGAGTTTGACAGTCTAAAGGATGTGAATAGTGCACCCATTCTCGGCCTAACATATTTCATCACCTTTTTGGCAAAAAACTTGGAGGCAGATGGGAGTCCTTCAAGAATGTTTAAAGCCCGAGTAAACTTGCTTATGAGCAGCATCAAAGTGCAGAAATGTGAGCTGATAAATTAGCTTGGGTATTGCTCTTGATTCTCCTAATTATATTCTGTTTGTGGAGCATTATTCATGTTTTAATGGTTGCTAATAGTAAATATATCTAAGGGACACTTCTAAGTGAAGAAATGTGAGCGGTTAAACTGGCTTGGGTATTGCTCTGGGCCTTTGGCTTCTATTAATGAATGTCATACTGTTTATGGATATTGAATTATGTTTCAACTTTCAATAGTTGCTGATGAGAAAGCTGTTACTGTTGTGTAGCCTGTGCATATAAGTTGATCGATCGACACTTTGTAGTTTGATAAACCTCTTAATTTCTCTTCCTGCAACGCATGCTACTTTTGTTTGTTAGTTGTTCATATCTAACACTCCAACAATATCAATTTTGGAACGTAAAAACATTCCTGTTGAGTTCTGCACCAAAATGCATGAGTCAACTTTATAACATGAGTTTAATTGCAAGAGAAAGTGATCCCTGTTTTTTATTGATGAATAAGATGGTTTGGAGTAGACGAGTAGTGGTTTTCGAAAGTAAATATGAAATGATGTGTAATTGCTAGACTAAAATAACCTTTCTCAGTTTCACTATCTAAAAGCAAAAGATTGGATGGCTAAAAGCAAAACATTGGATGGTTAAGGGCCCGTCCGGTATGATTGTGAGTTTATTGTTTTTGGTTTTTAAGAAACAAAAAACTGTTTTCAGTTTTTTATTTTCACTTTTCTAAAAACTGTTTTGATAATCGAAGCCAACAACATGAATCTAAACTTGATTTCCACATCCAAAGAAAACTTGATTACCACATCCAAAAACTCTGGTACTTCACAAAAATCATGGTGTAGGGGCACTTCAAGAGTATTTGACGGTGGAAGCAAATACTCAACATCGCAGTATCAAAACTCCATCTTATGAAAAAGTACAAAGATTATTATACAATATGAAGAAAGACAAAACCGGTAATATGGAGGCAGATACTGAGATACGTAGCTTCAATGGAGATTATTGTAGTGGGAAATATTGTGGGAGAAGAATAAGAGATGCAGTGATATTCTGGAAGAAGATCGAGGTTGCGGCGATGGAGAAAATAAAGAGACAAATGAGAAAGCGGGCTTTAATTTTTGGAAACCATCTTTCCTAATTTCTCAAATAGCAATTTCGTTTTTTAAAATAGTTCTTGCTTTTCTAATATTTGGAAGCGGAATCTTTTTCTACCGAACGAGTTTTGTTTTTTATTTTGAAAGAAAAAATGGAAACGGTGAAATGGCAGTGATGCCGAACAGACTCTAAGTTTTTGGCGCTCAAACAAGGTTGTTGATGAATTTATGAAAAATAAAACCACTGCCTGTTTTTCTACCAAACGGTGAAGTCACCTCGGCCATAAGCAAGGGGACTGTGCAGATAAGTCTTGGAATTACACTGCAAAATGTTTTACTAGTTCTTGGATTAACATGCAATTTAATTTCCTTGGCAAAATTAATTGATGACCGAAATTGCAGTGTATTTTTTACTAATGATGTTTGCGTGATACAAGACCTACCATCGAAGATGTTGATTTGAGCGGGTGAAAAACGTGGAGGAGTATACTATTTTCGTAGTCTTGATTATGTTCGTGCTTATTCAATAACGGAGAAGAGCAAAGGAGATTTGTGGCACTCTCGGTCAGGACATCCATCAGCCAAAGTTATACGTTATGTTATTACTTTGAATAATTCTGTGTTGGACTCTAGTTTAAATAAAAGTTGTGACGCATGCTAGCGTGGAAAAAAGACACGAGATATTTTTCATATTAGTGAATCCAGAGCCTTTGCAGTCTTTGATTTAATACATTGTGATGTGTGGGTTCCATATCGTTCTCCTGCGTCATGTGGCAACCGATATTTCTTGACTATAGTTGATGATTACTCACGTGTTGTATGGGTTTTTTTGATGAAAGAAAAAAGTGAGGTGTCCCGAATACTTAAACAATTTCTTATGACGGTGGATCGTCAATTTAATAAAAGGGTGAAAATTGTTAGGAGTGATAACGGGATAGAATTTCAGTGTTTGAAATTTTTTGGAAAAATTGATAGTAATAATCTCAACTATGGTCTGTCCGCTTATAATAATCCCAACTATCGATTATTTCAGAATAATCCCAACTTTAGGGACCTTCCGCCAATAATGGTCCCTTTAAATAAATTCTTGTAGTTTCTAAAGTGGATGAGGAGAGATATAACAAGTAATCCCTATAAGTAATCCCAACTTTTAATTTTTAAACTTGATTTCTATTTAAAATTCACTTTTTGAGGGTGTAATATTTGGTCATGGACAATTATTGGCGGACTGTCCATATAGTTGGGATTATACAAAAATAAACAATAGTTGGGATTATTATTAGCGGACCGTCAATAATTGGGATTATTATTTTCAATTTTTCCAAATTTTTTTTATGGATCATGAAATTATTTTTCAAACAACTTGTGTTATATACTCTACGGCAAAATGGACGGGTTGAACGTAAACACAGGCATATATTAAATATAGCCTGGACTCTTCGTTTTCATGCTCACCTTCCGATTGAGTTTTGGGGCGAATGCGTGTTGACTGCATGTTATCTTATTAATCGTTACCTTCTCCGGTTTTGGAGTATAAGAGTCCTCATGAATTATTGTATGACAAGTCACCCAAGTACGATCATCTTCGTGTCTTTGGTTGCCTTTGTTATGCACGTGCACACAGGACTAATAATGGTGATAAATTTGCTCAAAGGGGATTGAAATGTGTTTTTTGGGGTACCCTTATTCCCAAAAAGGCTGGAGATCGTATGACCTCGAATCCCAACATTTTTTTTTTTTCACGAGATGTAACATTTATTGAAACAGAATTTCCTTTTGCTAGATCAATTGGGGCGAATGACGAGTGCAACGATAATTCCGACATAATGGTGACACACCCACCATCCTCTTTTGTTGGAGATGATGTGGAGGGCATGCATAATGATGCATGTCATGACGGTACATTCATGCGGTACATACATCCTCGTGTAGGCATCAATGATTTCCTAACAATGATTGGTTACACAAATCATATCATTGCACAAAAGTTCACAATAATCTGCATCATTATTTAATTTGATGTCATTTTGTAGGGAAGATGTTGCCGTGTAGAGAAATATCCGCTTCCATATCTCATGGAAGAAAAGAATATTGCATTATATGAAAGGATTGTTGCTCTCAGCAAAATGTCTCTTTCTTTTTACGAGAAAAATCATGTATGCTCCATATCATTGCTTTCGCACTTCAAAACGAGTTCTCGAATATCACTCGAGAAAGTTTTCTCGGAGTTAGATCTCGAGAACTATTTTTCTCGAACTTGGAAATTTGAATTCGAAAAGTTTTAAATTGATATCATTATGTTGTGCTATAATTGCAGGTGGTTCTCGACATTTCTTCTGAGTACGAACTCGAGAATGCATCTTTCTCGATATTTGAATTCGAGGAATTGTTTCTCGATATTTCAAACCTCGAAAGTCAGTTCTCGATATTTGAACCTCGAAAAGGTCTTTTCGATGTTTAAATACCGAGAACCTACTTCTCGAAGTTTGAAATACCGAGAAGCGGTTCTCGATATTTAAACATCGGGGAAGGAAGTTCTCGAAGTTTAGATCTCGAGAAGGACTTTTCGATATTCTCACATCGAGAACCAAGTTCTCGATGTTTGAGTATCGAGAAGAGCTTCTCGGTATTTAAACCTCGAGAACCTACTTCTCGATGTTCAAACCTCGAGAAGTTGGTTCTCGTGGTTTACACTCAGAAATTTTCTCGAGGTCCCACCAGTACACACCTGATCTGAACAATTGCAAAAACAGAACAAAAATAAAATTTTCAAATGAACAATGTGCTGACCCAATTTCTTCAACTAATCATGTCAGGAACAGCCAAGAATGCACAACCAAGCAATGATATATACCCTAAAGAGAACCGGGTCCCACTATATGACAACAACTTTCAATTGGACCTGAAGCTCTTCAAATGTCAGGACCCAGTCATTCTCTCCATCCTACAGAAGCACTACCTTTGGACTGCATTCAACGAAGCCAAACCAGTACCAATGGTTTACCTGCAACAATTCTGGGGCTCGATGCAGACTCCCAGTGAAAAGGATCGCTCGAAAATCATGACCAAGCTAAATTTAATAAAAAATTATTAAATTTTTTATTTAATAATTTAATACAAAATTATTAAATTTAATATATTTTTTGTAACAATCAGAGTACAAATAAAAAAATTATTTTAGTTTAAAATAAACATAGGATTTTATTATTTGAATTGCATGGTTTTAAGAAATATTTTAAAAATCACAATCAGAGTATGTCAACAATCACAAGAAATACGATGCAACAATTAAAACCAAAAAATTCAAAGCTATTAACAAAAAGAAGCAAATAATTAATTCAAGAAACAATATGCAACAACTAATAATTATTGAATTGTGTAAGTATTTTTAGAATATTACATTACAAACTTATATATTTTTCGATTTTTCCATCTTTTTAATAATTTCTTTTTTTGACTTTTTTATTTACAACTTCATTTAGTTTACACGATTTTTAGTTTACTTTAATTTTTTATTTTTAATAAATTCTAAAAATCTTATTTTCTACTTTTATTTTACTTGTACAAAATCTAATTATATTTTTTGAATGCTTAAAAAATATATACTTTGTATATTTTTTGAAATTTTAAATTTTTTTTATTTTATGATAATAATTTTGATTATTATTATTACTATTTTACTTTGTATATATATAGAATTTACAAAAACATTACTCTTTCATAAAAAATTATAACTACTTTAAGTATTTTTAAATAGTTCCAGAACATTTATAAACATTACTTTGTATTTTTAGTACGTTTTTTTTTACCATTTATATCATTTATATCATTTTTCCATTTTTTTCTATTAATGTTTTAAAAATATGAAATATGCAAGTCTAATTATAGAGCATAAAGGTTACACGTAAGTGTTTATTCAAAAAAGTGGACACATAAATAGATTTTCTATCTTCCGTATACAATCCGACATCCGTTATTTAACAACGTTACATAACAAGCAGGTTAGTGGTCACGGTCTATCACTAAAAGAGATCTCTTTCGTAGGCTATTTTTGAAAGAAAGTTTGAAAAGTGAAAAAACTGATATAACTTTCACTTTTTAGGCTACCTCTGAGATAGATGGAATTGGGTTTCGGTGATGTGGATTCATTGCTGAGTATTTGTTGGGCTAATAGAAAGAAAGTGGTTTGGGCTTTTAAAATGTATAACTGATAATTTTATTATTTAAAATATACTCCCTCCGGTTTTATTTAATCTTCACACTTTGACTTCACACAAAATAAGGAAAGAAATTTGACTTTACTGTAGAGTACACTGTTGAGGCACTATTTGGCAATGTAGAGACACTATTTGGCACTGTTGAGACACTGTTTTGATGTAGATTTTTTGCCAAAAAAAAAGGAAATAAGGAAGTGTGAAGTTTATTTTAGACCGTCCCAAAAAGGAAAGTGTGAAGTTTATTAAAAACCGGAGGGAGTAAACTTTACTACAATTATTTATGTATTGGAAACCCAAAATTAAACTGTAATAATTAATTAGGATATGGGTCAAATTTCTCTAAATCAGAGTTTTGTAATGTTCGGCCCATTCCAATCTAATTCTGGTTGGACCACTCAAGCCCAACTTCCCTTCAGACAATTAACCTGAAGACACTGACGATTCTCGCCTGGCTTTCATTCGCTGCGTGCCACCTCTTCGGCGTAGTGCATCTATCAAACAAACCAGGTATCTCATGGATCTCGAATCTTAGCTTCTTCCACTTCCGGCCATATCAATTATTTCTAATCCAAAATTATTCCCTGTTTAAACTATTTCCGGATCTGAAAGCAATTACTAAAAGGTAAATTTTGGTCCACCGATTTATACAAATTTTATCGTATCTCCGATTTTTAGATTTTGGTTGTGTGCTTGATTGTGTGCGTGTGTGTATGTTTTAAGTTTATTTTTGATCGTGTTGAGCTCAAATCTTCCCTTTTTCGTGATTAGTCAAATGGTATCATGACAAGTCAAATAACCCAATTACGCACAAACAATTTCGACTAATGTTGTTAACTTTTTTTTTACTGTAAACAATATATACATCTGTGTGTCTATATATATATATATATATATATGAGTGTGTGTATCATGTAGTTGTATATCATCTGTCATAATATGTATTTATAATTTGTACAAACACGCATGCAATCAGATTATTTTTTTAGTTAACGTAAACATCACTTTTATAAATTTACTTGCAGCATGGTTTCTGTACAATTACATTATTTGGAATGTTTTTTCTGTCAATTGAAATAGCTTCAAATATAATGAGTTTACCTACACTCATGAACATTTACTGTTAAAGTTATTATGGGAATTCAGTAAATGCCTGTCTGACTAAAAACTGTATCAATTGAATTCTTCTTGGTTCTCATGACAAGTAGTCCACAAATACACCCATGCTTAAAATTAATCACTGCAATACTTGCTGACTCTCGGATTTTCACCACTTTATTTGTACTTACAAAATACATCTATGCATAAACACAAGTGGTGTTAGTTTATAGATACTCCATATCATTCACATGGATTATTTTCTTTCTACATTCATTTAATAGGGTAGGTAAGTGGAATCGTGAGAACAATGGAAGGTGCAGTCTCATTGCTTGTCTCCTCCCCGCCTACATGGATCTCGAAGAGAAGGTCTGTGGAGGAGACTAATCAGGATGATATTATTGTGGATGTACAAAATCTATTTATCTCAAATTCAAATGACAGTGGAGGTGGCTGTAATGGTGTTTCTGGTTCGCCTTTTGTTAGTAGGACAATACGCGGTGTAAGCATCAATGATTACCTTATAATGATTGGTTACACAAATCATATCATTGCACACAAGTTCACTTATTTAATTTGATGTCATTTTGTAGGTAATATGTGGACGTGTAGATAAACATCCGCTTCCAGATCTCATGGAAGAAAAGAATATTGCATTATATGAAAGGATTGTTGCTCTCAGCAAAATGTCTCTTGCTTTTTACGAGAAAAATCATGTATGCTCCATATCATTGCTTCCTTTCCTCTCGTAAACTTACATATTAGAAAAGATAGCAATGACCAAATCATTTCACTACTGCTGATCATATCCTTCTACTCCATTGTAGCCAGGAGAGTCATATGAGTTTGACAGTCTAAAGGATGTGAATAGTGCACCCATTCTCGGCCTAACATATTTCATCACCTTTTTGGCAAAAAACTTGGAGGCAGATGGGAGTCCTTCAAGAATGTTTAAAGCCCGAGTAAACTTGCTTATGAGCAGCATCAAAGTGCAGAAATGTGAGCTGATAAATTAGCTTGGGTATTGCTCTTGATTCTCCTAATTATATTCTGTTTGTGGAGCATTATTCATGTTTTAATGGTTGCTAATAGTAAATATATCTAAGGGACACTTCTAAGTGAAGAAATGTGAGCGGTTAAACTGGCTTGGGTATTGCTCTGGGCCTTTGGCTTCTATTAATGAATGTCATACTGTTTATGGATATTGAATTATGTTTCAACTTTCAATAGTTGCTGATGAGAAAGCTGTTACTGTTGTGTAGCCTGTGCATATAAGTTGATCGATCGACACTTTGTAGTTTGATAAACCTCTTAATTTCTCTTCCTGCAACGCATGCTACTTTTGTTTGTTAGTTGTTCATATCTAACACTCCAACAATATCAATTTTGGAACGTAAAAACATTCCTGTTGAGTTCTGCACCAAAATGCATGAGTCAACTTTATAACATGAGTTTAATTGCAAGAGAAAGTGATCCCTGTTTTTTATTGATGAATAAGATGGTTTGGAGTAGACGAGTAGTGGTTTTCGAAAGTAAATATGAAATGATGTGTAATTGCTAGACTAAAATAACCTTTCTCAGTTTCACTATCTAAAAGCAAAAGATTGGATGGCTAAAAGCAAAACATTGGATGGTTAAGGGCCCGTCCGGTATGATTGTGAGTTTATTGTTTTTGGTTTTTAAGAAACAAAAAACTGTTTTCAGTTTTTTATTTTCACTTTTCTAAAAACTGTTTTGATAATCGAAGCCAACAACATGAATCTAAACTTGATTTCCACATCCAAAGAAAACTTGATTACCACATCCAAAAACTCTGGTACTTCACAAAAATCATGGTGTAGGGGCACTTCAAGAGTATTTGACGGTGGAAGCAAATACTCAACATCGCAGTATCAAAACTCCATCTTATGAAAAAGTACAAAGATTATTATACAATATGAAGAAAGACAAAACCGGTAATATGGAGGCAGATACTGAGATACGTAGCTTCAATGGAGATTATTGTAGTGGGAAATATTGTGGGAGAAGAATAAGAGATGCAGTGATATTCTGGAAGAAGATCGAGGTTGCGGCGATGGAGAAAATAAAGAGACAAATGAGAAAGCGGGCTTTAATTTTTGGAAACCATCTTTCCTAATTTCTCAAATAGCAATTTCGTTTTTTAAAATAGTTCTTGCTTTTCTAATATTTGGAAGCGGAATCTTTTTCTACCGAACGAGTTTTGTTTTTTATTTTGAAAGAAAAAATGGAAACGGTGAAATGGCAGTGATGCCGAACAGACTCTAAGTTTTTGGCGCTCAAACAAGGTTGTTGATGAATTTATGAAAAATAAAACCACTGCCTGTTTTTCTACCAAACGGTGAAGTCACCTCGGCCATAAGCAAGGGGACTGTGCAGATAAGTCTTGGAATTACACTGCAAAATGTTTTACTAGTTCTTGGATTAACATGCAATTTAATTTCCTTGGCAAAATTAATTGATGACCGAAATTGCAGTGTATTTTTTACTAATGATGTTTGCGTGATACAAGACCTACCATCGAAGATGTTGATTTGAGCGGGTGAAAAACGTGGAGGAGTATACTATTTTCGTAGTCTTGATTATGTTCGTGCTTATTCAATAACGGAGAAGAGCAAAGGAGATTTGTGGCACTCTCGGTCAGGACATCCATCAGCCAAAGTTATACGTTACTCCGTATGTTATTACTTTGAATAATTCTGTGTTGGACTCTAGTTTAAATAAAAGT